CACTGTTTTGTTTTGCTGGTAACTTCACTGTTAAAAATGGTCCCCTGTTGTAGCTCTTTAGTGTTCTCAAGTTGAAGAAGGCTGTCAACTGCCCCTCTCAGAAAAATACATGTTCTGTGTACTGAATGTGTGATGTGTACACACACACACACACACACACACACACACACACACACACACACACCAGTATGATTCAATTTGGAAAAGAGGTCCTTAAGAGTCAATTCAGGCTATATGGGTTGAACATGACCTGGTAGGATTAGTGTTCTTGTAAAAAGAAGACATACTTTCTCTCCTCAGCAAACCAAGTACAGACAAAATAGCCATTGTAAAACCAGGAAGCGAGTCGTCACAAGAAATTTGATCGTACAAGCTGCTTGATCTGAAATTTTCTTGCCGGAACTGTAAGACAAGAATTTCTATTGAGGCTGGGCCATGGTGGCACTTGCCTTTAATCCCAGCACTTGGGAGCCAGAGGTAGGAAGATCTCTGTGAGTTCGAGGCCAGCCTCATCTATATATAAGTTCCAGGATAGCCAGAGCTGTTGCACAGAGAAACCCTGTCTTGACCAAAAATTTTTTTTCTACTGATTAACATCTGGTCTATGGCATTTTGTTATAGAAATCTAAACAGCTATGTTTCGATGAGCATACAGTATTAGTCCCTGTGAGTTCCAAGTCACTGATTCTGTAATTAGTGAAATTCTTTTAATATAACACATACATTTTCATAGAACATATGCTCTATCAACCAGAAGATAAAAATATATAGACTGGAGGAAAATATTTAGAAAAAAAGAATCACCTATCAAAAGACTGATGGTAAAAATATATAAAGAACTCTTAAAGATTTAACAAATAGAAAATACCTCAGAGCTATGAGGAATGAAAACAAAAGTCATAAATACAGTGGTCCATGTGGTGCTAAATTTTCTCAAGTCAATTACATGAAGGAACACCTGAGCAGATTAGTGAGGCTGCTCTAGGTGTGCTGAAGAGGTTACGTCTAGACAAGATTAACTGAAGGAGAAAACAAGTGTTATTGAATTTGGAAGGCATCATCTTACAGGTTGGGAAGAAGTAAAAGGAGAGAGAAGGATGACAAGAAAGAGACATCCCACCCAATCTTTTTCTCCCTGCTCTCCATCTCTATCCACTCTGTTGTGAGGTAGTTGGCTCTAACACACTGACCCCCACCCATGATGAACCCAAATCTCTGAAATCATAAACTGGATAAATATTACCTTTGTTGATTCTCACAGGTTATTTGTCTCTGCAATGGAAAAATAGTAATAGACCATATCCAGATAATGGACTGTTGCTACTGAGCCATAAAAGACAAGGAAGAGATTTAAGAGCATGTTAATAACAATATGATAGAAAACGAAGAACATGTCTGAACAAACGCCTAGCCAAGGAGGATACAGATGACAAATAAACAAATGAAATCTTTCCCTCATTAGAAAAATGTAAATTAAAAGTGTTGCTAATAGATTCCTAATAAGTTGGCTAAAGTCTGGAACACCAGCAGAACATTGCTGGGGAGCATATGCAGTCACAAGAATGCTCACTCACTGCTGTTGAGAATGAAGAACAGTGCAGCCAGTGTGGAAGAATCTGATAACACTAAATACATTCTAATGGCGTAATCCAACAGCTTCACCCTTTGGTGTTTACTCAAATGAGCTTAAGACTTGTGTGTATAGCAACTTTCTTGATCATTGCTAAACTTGGAAACAAAGCAGATGTCTTTCAGTGGAATGGAGAAACTACTTGTCTGCACAAGTATCAGTCTACCATGGGCTGGTTACTTTAAATGGCAAAAATTAGTTAATAGAAACAATGGTCCTGGACAATCAAGGGTCAACCAATGGGATTCCTGTGGCTTGCTCTCTGGCTTCCAAATGATCATCTTCATGCTGTATCCATGGACAAGCAATATCTAATGTCTCTTCCTATGATGTCACTAGTTCCATTGGTTTAAAGCCTCACTCTAGTAATCTACCCTTATTTGCTTCTTTAAATCCTTCATTTTCACTTATAATAAGGGACATTAGGGATTTGGAGTTTTACTATGTGGACATGGTGGGGAGTGGGGGAAGGGGGTGACACAGGTCAGTACAAAACACTATGACACTATGACACAAAAACATTATGATACATCCAGATAGTGGAATGTTTTTCAGTGTTAAAAAAGAAGCTATCATGCCATGAAAAGACATGTAAGAAACTTGAGTGCTGTTGAAGGGAAACAATCTGAAATGGCTGTGTAAATCGTGATGCCAATTATATGATGAGTTAGTTCATTTTTAACATTGTAGCAAACTCTCAGACAAAAGCAATGTAAAGGAGGGAAGACCTATTTTGGTTCACAATTAGAGGAGTTTCAGTCTGTGGTCACTTGGCTGCATGCTTCTGAGTCTACGGTGAGATAGACCTCTTGGTATTGTGGTGGGGGAAAATGTGTTAGAAAGAACAGTTCATTTCAAGCTGCAATGGGGGCAGGATATAGTCCTCAGAGATACACCTTCAAAGATGGACTTTTTTTCAAGACATGATTTCTCTGTATTGCTTTGGAGACTGTCCTGGAACTTGCTCTGTAGATCAGGCCTGCCTTGAATTCACAGAAATCAGCCTCTGCCTCCGGAGTTCTAGGATTAAAGGCGTGCACCACCAACACCTGGTTTTCTTAACTAGGTCTCACCTGTTAAGTTTCTATTGATTTCTCCAAATTAGGATCCATCAAAGCTCTGAATTATTATTAATCACAGGATTAACCTGCCCGTGAATAATAATAAATTCACAAGATATGTTAGTTCATTAACTATAATTTCCTAAGTGGTTTGGGTTTCCCCTGATAAATGTGGATAAACAGAAGCTCTTTGGTTTTCATCTTAACTACCTATCTATCATCTATCTATCTATCAATCTATCTCCCTATCTATCTGTCTATCAATCATCTATCTATTTATCTATCTGTCTGTCTGTCTATCTATCAGCCTATCTATCATCTATCTATCTACCTACCTATCCATCTATCTATGGCTACAGAATGACTACAAAGGGGTTAAAAAGGCCATAGCAGAATTCAAGGAGTTCAGAAAGGCCTTAATGGAGGCAGAGACAGAAAGGCAATAGACATGTAAACAGTCTCTTCAGAGGAGTAGATAATTACCCTCTTTAGAGACCTTCTAAAGGTGCTACCTACAGAGCCAAGCTTCAGAGTAGAGCCAAGCTGGAAGGTCAAGTGTACTACCAGGTCCAGACAGATGAACGGGCAGCTAGGTGACAGCAGTTGAGGAGACTAAACTGACCTGAAGCACCTGGGACAGTCAGAGTTCCCTGCCTGTTGACCCCTAAATACACACAGAGACACACAGAGACACAGACACACGGACACACACACACGCACACACACACACACACACACACACACACACAGAGAGAGAGAGAGAGAGAGAGAGAGAGAGAGAGAGAGAGAGAGAGAGAGAGAGAGAGAGAGAGAGAGATTGAGAGTCAGATGGTAGACCTGTTGTATCCCAGGGTCCAAGTGAGGATACTGCACACATCCTCTTTCTGGTGCTCTGATCAGTCCTCGGCCCTAGCCTTTCTGAAATGGCTTTAAAATATCCATGTGTTCATACAATCCGAGTCCCTTTTACTTATAGGGATGTTATTTGTCAGTCTGTGCTGGACGGATGCTTGTTCTCATGTGTGTATAGACAGGTGCAGCATTATCCTGCCTCTGGGTTACTCCAAATAGACACCAATGATGTCTGAAAAATGCAATCATCCAGGCTAGGGCACAGTCTAACAAAAACACTGTTGCACTCGCTATGTTGCAACTTAGAAAAGGACACTGTCTGAGAGGGACACCACTTTTCTGGGGTCAGAGGGTGACAGTCCTCCATTCCTTGCTATGGGAACCCACTTCCTGCTTTCTAACTCACTTATGCAAAACTGTGACTGGAAGCTCATTGGGAAGCTAAAAGCAAGGGAATGATCGTTTCTCAAGACATTAGGCAAGTCTGCAAACCCAAAGTTCAGTTGCAAGTTTCACAACAGGTAACCAGAAGTGACAATGGCCTTTTCAATCTCTGGAGTCCTTCTGAGCAGTCTTCCCTTTCCCCACTGATAATCCTCTCCTGTTCTAGATACTCTATGGCATGGGCTCTCAACCTGTGGGTCACACGACCCATTGACCCACTGTGAATGACCCTTTCACAGTGGTCACCTAAGACTATCAGAAAATGCAGATATTTACAATAAGATTCATAACAATAGCAAAACTACAGCCATGACGTTGAAATAAAAATAATTTTATGATCAGGGCCATTACAGCATAAGAAATTGTATTAAAGGGTCACAACATTAGGAAGGTTGAGGACCACTGCCCTAAAGGGAAGAAGAAAAACTGATGTCTAAGTGAGCCTCAAATAACAAAGGTCATTAATTATTTGCAACACTTTGTCTGCTTCTTCCTCTATTTCTTCAGAGCTCAGAGCTCCACACACAGCTAGGCCCCAGTTTCAGTGGAACTGCCTGGAGGAGGAAGCTGTCCCCTTATAAGAGCTAAGACATGGTTGCCAAACACCTCCAAACTTCAGGTGTCGATTTGTATCTTCTCCCTTCCCTCTTTCTCCTCCATCTGTCATACCTTTGTGATTCTGCAATCAAACACCCCTTTAAGGGGGAAGGCCCCACGTGTATACAATCGTCTAACTCCTCCTTCCCATTTTTTCAACATTGGCCCTTTCTCAAGGAATTGCATGACTTTCCGGTTTTCATCAAATATCTTCACATTCCTTCAAAGGTAGGTGGCACTTGTGGAGAGTATCCATGTAAGTTGAAAAGAAGACTACAATGCATGAGTGAGATTAAGAAGTCAGTTTGGTGCAGCAGCAGGCCTGGGGACGTAACCCTGTTGAATGACTGTAACAAGAAAAAGGAAGCAGAAATGATAACCAGAAAGGGAATTAATCAGCAATAGACACAATCTGGAAGGAGATGCATGGATGCGTGTGTCAGAGAGGGAGACTCCTTTCCAGTCGCCTCCTTAGGTCACTCTGGCCAGTCTGTCTATACCATGTGGGCAGTGGGGTAAGTGCCACAGTCCATCAGATCTAATGCCAGTGTATTGCGGTCACATGTGTGGTCACTCTAGTCTTACCAAACAACGCAGTGTTCGTGTTGCTGGTTTAAAAGTAGAGAATGGAGCCAAGCATCCTGGCATACGCCTATATTCCTAGGATTTGGGTTGCTGTGACAACATGATTACCACAAATTCAAGGCCGGCCTGAGACCCTGTCTCAGAGGACAGAAGGAGAGTGAAGAAAAGGAGGAGGAAGGGTGGGGAGAAAGAAGGGAAAGAAAGAGGGGATAAAGGAAGAATGGGATAGGGAGGAAGGTGGCAGGGAGGAGATCCACAAGTCTAGGTAAACTTCTAAATCATCATCCAGGGACTTCATTGAATTCAGTATCTCAAATCTAGCTAACATTAATATATTTCACCAGATTGATTCTGTATCTGTGAGATTATAGACCAATTTTTTTGAAAGTGGGAAGCTCACCAAGGTCAGTGTCAGTTTGTGGGTCCTGCCTGGAGCCAGAGAGTCGCCATCCTGAGGGGCTTCTCCTAGCTGAGCTTGCCGGTGCTAAAACATTCTTAACTAGTACATGAGAATACTGTTTCCTCTGCTGGGTGGAAATACCCTGTGGTCTTGTTATCCCACGATATGGGATACTTCTGCTTCTAATGAAACAGCGCTCAAGAGAAAAACGTATGTAAAGGACAGAGTAAATTCATCAAAAATCACCAATGCTTTAAGAATTTTAGGAAAAATATTTCTGGGGAATTTGAGTTGAAGAAGAATTGCTGTTTGTTATCCCCCTCTTCCCACCCAGTTTTCTTCTCTACCTCTGATGGGACTCCACTAGAAATGTAGGATTTCTTCTCTAAATTTTGTTGTGTCAGAGGTGGGGATGGGAAAGTAGGTTAGGTTATTTCACTCTCTGACCATTTCTACCTTCAAATGAAACCTACAAGTGGGTTTAAAATGCTTTTGAGATGTTGGTTGGTTTCCAAGGTTGTTTCTAGTAACTTCTCTGTGTGTTTTTGCACCCTGTGTGCTTTGCCTCAATGCCATGAGGATAGCTGCCAGGTTAAGTGCTTTTGTTCCTTAAAAAAGGCATAATAACATAAAATGTTAGCCATACAAGCTCAAGAAGGACTGTGGGGGGGGAGGAGGGCAGGGTGGACTGGACTGGGGAAGTGGTTCACCATTGCAGAGCACGTGCTATTCTTGTAGAGGGTCCAGATTCAGTTCCCAGCATCCACAGCGCCACTCACAATCCCCGGGAACTCCAGAATTCTTGGGCTTTTGAACACATGTAATACAGATACATAGAAACACACACACACACACACACACACACACACACACACACACACACACACACACACCGTGACTCTGACCCTGTAAAAAACTTCATTTTTTTCCAGTCTCAAGTCAGACTTATTTTTGAAGACATGGGTTGGTACTAGGCTGCTCTCCCAGAGATCTCAACTGGCTTCTTTCTTGCTATCTGTCGGAAGGCAGGACCCCTATGCTGAAGTCTGTCAATAAGCAAGGTGAGTTTCCTACCCAATCAACTAATGAAGATCATTGGCAAAGACTAAGGTGCTTCTGGGGGGCGGGGCATCGGTAGGGAGCTAAGGGGCCTATTGCTTTGTTTGTTGCGAGACAGATTTTCACAATGTAGTTCTGCCTAAGAACGTCTTGCCTCTTTGTCAGGAGGGGCTAGCATTGCAGGAGTGCTCTCATGCCATAATAAATTTTCTTTTTTATGTAATTGTTTTTCTGTGGTGCCAGTGATAATCCAGGAACACCCTGAGTATGCTAGGCAAACACTACTACTGTGTTTCATCCCAGCTCAGGAGTTGAGTCTTGTGTCCTTCCTATTAATCGGCTATGGAGTGGTTTTGTTGTTGTTGTTTTGTTTTTGTTTTGTTTTGTTTTTTTGCTTCCTGAGATAATGGTCTTGTTTGGTAGCCCAGTCTGGCCTTGAACTTACAACAATTCTCCTCCCTTAGCTTCAAGAGAGATTACATTACAGGTGTGAATCCTCATGCCCCAACCTGGAACCATTTGTAAAATGGACACTTGAGAGACTCTAGTCCATTTGAAAGCAGCTTCTGGTCCACTAGGAAGTTGTCCCTTAGTTGTGGCTCTGCCTTCTAAATGAGGAACTGCTCCTTGTTCTATGCTGTCTTTATGCCAGGAGACCTATTTCAGGTCCTGAGAAGTTTCAAGATGTCTGCTTTTGTGCTCCCAATGCTGGGGGTTAGTGACACCAGAGATGGTATCTTGGATAGCTAATTCAGAACTATATCTACCAGATTCACCATTAGAACAGCATCAGGGGCATCTTATTTTGGATACATTGGTGACATCAACACAAATCTTAGTTTGGGAGGGAGAAACCTTTTGGGGGTTCGTTACATTCACAATTGCTACCATCTGTAGTTAATCTGCCATAGTTAGTTTGGCAATTTTCCAGGGCAAAGAAACCCTCTTCTAAAGTACCTAATGTGCTATGCAGAGAGGGAAATTCCTTCCTGTCCTATGAGAGATACTATCCATTTATTTTTATTTTCGTTAGCTAAATGACTTTTTTCCTGCAACATTAATGGGAATATATCCTTATGCAAATTTATTCAAATCAGAAAGCAAGTAAATTTTATCATTTTGAATCTAGGGTTCCACAATCCAACACTTCATAAAGGTTAAACAATTTTTATTATTTTTTGTTGTTGTTTGTGGTTTTTTTTGGGGGGGGTGTTGTAACTGCTTTGTTTTTGTTTTGTTTTGTTTTTTTTGAGACAGGGTTTCTCTGTGTAGCTTTGGAGCCTATGCTGGAACTCTGTAGACCAGGCTGGCCTCTAACTCACAGAGATCCACCTGCCTCTGTCTACCAAGTGCTAGGATGTACCACTGCCGCCAAGTTAATGATTTATTTTCAAAGAAAAGTTTATAAAGGAAATATAGAAGTTGTCAATGCCTATTTATGGAATGCATGATTACTCCAATTGACGATCATGACAAATGAAGCAATTTTCACGGCTTGCAAGCTGACAACTGAGTGGACATTAACAGTATCAATGAATAAAACATGATATTTCCAGTGTCGGATTCAACAATTTTACTTCTGACTATTATTTCAGTTCAGGACTGGATTAATGTCTCCATACTAGCACTTCTGAAAGCAAAATAGATTCTGCTGGCATGAAAGGAAGCACATTTATGTTTTAGATTAAAATTTAGAGTTCACGGGTTTGGAATCTATTGACGTGGATGTCGTATCTCTGCATCCTTATAACCAGCCTCACGATGCACATGTGGGAGGTAGCTGGAAACGGCTAGAGTCGGAGGCGTGGATGGGCGTGGATGGGCGACTCAGAGGCCTCTGAAGTCAAGCTCCAGTCTTGGCTCAGGGCAGAACCCGTTTAGTCCCGAGACCTGCTTGTTGCTCAGTCTACGGTGTTCCTCTGACAGTGGTAGACACACTGTAACCATAGGCACAGCCTCGGCCAGGGAGGCCAGTGTTCCTCCCAGGATCTCTTTCTGACCCTCAACTCGGAACTTGGGATGAACAACTTACAACTTTTTTTATTTGGAGAATGAATATTATTAGTCCGTATCAATTTGAGTGTTCATATTGCAAACATCGAAAGAGCTGCTGTTCTTTGTCCTCTGCTATGACTTCAGTACAACTATCAACTTAGAGTCCCGTCAAGTCGGGTGCTTCACCACATCCAGCAAGAGAGCCTCCCTGAGTGCAGCCTCGGAGTATCACACACAACTCTAAAACTACCTTGTGGAGAGGAGCTTCCCCAAGAGCAGGTGGGTGTCTTCCGGCTTTGCACGCAGTTCTGCGGAGACCAATGCGCAGCAGCAAAACTGGAAGGATGCCGGGAAGGCAGAGCCCACAGCAGTTCTCCCTTTTACAGGGACTGCAGCAGCAGCAGGAAGCACAGAGGACACACAGTCCTGGCAGAGCACACCGTGAGCCATTGCTTTTGCAAGGGATGCTGGGTGTGTGCGTGGGGTGCAGGGTGTGTGCGTGGGGTGCAGATTCTGCCCTGCATTCCACTTGGCCCTGGTTAGCCAAGAGAGGGTCAGGCCTGGGAGAGATGATTGAGGAAATTTAATGAAGTCTGTTTCTTCTTTCAAAGCAGTAAACCACAGGACACCTACAGGGAAGCTTTATGAGGCCTCCTGTCTCCTAGTCTGCTTCTGGTTGCCAGTGGCAGCCCCACATCCTCCCTGGCCGTGGGCTATGGAGGAAATGCCAGACATCTGCAACTAGTTTAGACTGGGTCTGAATTTCCCCAGGAAGTAAAGCCTCAGTGTGTGTGTGTGTGTGTGTGTGTGTGTGTGTGTGTGTGTGTGTGTGTGTGTGGAAGAGACAAGACACTATCACCCATCAATTGCCCAATTCCTGGGAAAAAACCCTGAGGAACTAGGTGGCTTGTTGCTGGGGAACTTGGATTCTGTTGCAGAGTGCAGCATTTGGTTGAAAATTTGGTTGAGACAGAGAACACAAGTTCCCTAAGCAACCGTGTCTGGAGATGCATTTGAGGCAGAGGAGGACACAGCTGGTTGCAATTTCCCTCATTTTTTGCTGAATTTTTATGTTGTTGAATATTTACAAAAGAAGGTTCTTCCTGCGGGGAAGCAAGAAAGTCAAGAGAAGCAGACAGAAGAAGGAATTCTTCCACAGTGACCCAGTGGGGTATAATACAGGGGACATCTACACCACCACATCACACGCATGAGCACTGTCTTGAAGAATTGCAAGCACACACTGCTGTAAACAGCTCTTCCATGGCCCTCTTCTGACTTCTCCGGGCACCAGGCATGTATGTGGTACCCGGCCTAGCAAAGCGAATACATCAGATACAATAAATAAATCTAGATGGCAAAGCCCATGTCTCTGAGATGACCTCAGCCTGATACTTGGGACACACACAGTGAGTGGGGGGAGAGAGTCATCCCCAGAAAGCTGTCGTCTGAAATCCACATTCATGCACGATCAATCAATCCGTCAAGCCATTCATCAATCCATCAGTGACATAAACATTTCAAGTTAAAGCCTGTGTTGGTGAAAACTTAGAAGTTCATTCCACTTTATTGAAGAGCAGCTTATTATTCTGTGGATATCACATTTATTTTGCATTTATTTGTTAAATACTCGGAGGAGCGACTATTAGCAAAAGTTTTGTGTGCACATAGTACCAGGCCTTTGTGCTACCACATCTTCACTTCTCTTAAGTACTTAGAAATGAAAATGCTAGATCACTCGACTTCATTGATTTTTCTCTGCTGTTCATCCATCCCTTGCTCCCTTCCTTCTTGCATTTACTTGTTGGTTTTGTATCTTGCCTTTTAAAACTTTTTTGAAGTTATATTTTACTGATTTCGTGTGTATGTATGTGTCTGCTGGTGTATACTTGTCACAGTTTACATATGGAGGCCGGAAGACAACCCAGAGCCAATTCTTTCCTGTTACCTCTGAGATCCAAGAATAAAACTCAAATTATTTGACATCTTTACTTGTTAAGGCATCTCACCAGCTCTTCCCCTAGATCATAAGTGGATTTTTTGTATTGTTTTGTTTACTAACTTATTCATTTGTTTACTTGGTTTTTGAGGCAGAATTTCATGTAGCCCAGGGTGGCTTAGAACTTCCTATGCCTGTTGAGGCTTGACCTTCAACTACTGATCCTCTTGCCTCTACCTCCTACGGGTACCACCATTGCTGACTTTAGGTGAATATTCAACTTCCTTCTTTTCTAGCATAAAAGCATGTCAAGCTGTAATGTTTCCTCTAAGGACTGCTTCGGCTGCTCTGCACACGGTTTTATATACAACAGCCCTTGCTTTACTTGCAACTGTAGGGCCATGAAAATGAAGATACAGATTGACAGCATGCCAAGGGACCATAATAATAGTAATAATAAGAGGGAAAAATTGAAAATTTTCTGTGACTTTTAAAAAGATTTTTAAAAAATTCTCACTGTCAAAAAGAAAACATTCTCACTGTGTGTTATAAATGTGTAGAGAATTTTACAAATGACGAAACCAATGCTTTGAAGTTTCCTATAATTTAAAATAATATACACATTCCAGTGTTTGCTTCTTTGTAACTATTTGTCAGGGAATACATGTGAAATTCCCATGTTTCCATTTGGGAAAACAAAAAAGCTTAGAAGTTAGATGGCAATGACAATTTTACTTTGTGGAAATGTGTTAATTCATACTTAAAGATTATGAAATGCAGCTGGGTGATGTTATCACACACTTTTAATCCCAACACTTGGGAGGCAGAGGCAGGCAGGTCTCTGTGAGTTTGAGACCAGCCTGATTAAATATAGAGTGGGTTCTAGGACAGGATCCAAAGCTATACAGAGAAACCCTGTCTCGAAAAACACAAACAAACAAAAGATCATGAAATGCCAACTTTTGTATTATGTACATATTCACACAATTAAAAAACTTACCAGGAGTCATTTGAACAGTGTGTTGTACTTCTTAGAGTAAAATTTATAATATAAAGTACTTTGGTTGTTTTACTGTGGCTGGGATAAAACAGACAAAAACAACTTAAGAAAGTTCACTTTAATGCATAGTGCAAGCATCATCCCTCACCATGGGGGAGTCGAGGCAGAAGAAACTGGAAACAGCTGGACACGTCACATTCAAATCAGAAAGAGAGGGAGAGGAATGCATGCCACCACTCCTCCCTTTCTGCTTTTATACAGTCCAGGACCCCAGCTGGGGAATGGTGCTACCCAGAGTGGAGGCATCTTCCCACATCAGTCAATGAAATCAAGATCATCTCCCAGAGACATGCCCAGAGGACGGTCTCCCAGGTGACATGGCGACACTCGTCATCTTGCAGAGTAAGCATCTTTCCTATGACTTAACTGCCACACATCCTTCTCAGTGCCCCTTTGCAACTTGATAATGTGAAATCCTGAATGCCATCCTTGTGGGAAGATTTTTCTAGTGCCGATTCTTTTGGAATACTTTTATCATTTGCATCATAAGCAACCTCTTTATGTCACTTGCACCAAGCTCCCCTCAAAAGGTGATAATGTTAATATTCTCGCTTTAGACATTTCTCTTCTCATCCCATTTGTCTTCAATTCAAATATTTCACTTCTCAATTTTTTCTTTCTTTCCTTTCTCTCTTTCTTTCTTTAGATGATCTATTTTGTAAAGTGTCCTGTAAGTTTCTTGGTAAGAAACAGGAAACGTCTTCAAACGTATGTGTGTGAAGGGAGTTCAAGATGCCTAGTAGCCAGTGACCACTAGGGTTCCGAAGAGCTGACAGGGGTGGTTCCAACTCATAACACACATCTGTTATTTGCCTAATACTTTCTGGAGTGACAAATTAACAATGACGAAAACAGTTTCTAGAATATGTAGTGGATAGTAACTAAAGTAACTTAGGTATGAACCATGTTGTTTAAAGACTGGCATGTTTTTTGGTAACTTAAGTCTATTCATTCTAGAATTTGTTCAAAATAACAGAGAGCCTAACCCATGTTCTCTTTATACTAATGAGATTTTTAGAAATGTGTTGGCTAATTTTGGAATATTTGGAGAGTCTATCAGATCCTGTTTGTTATTGCCTTTATTTTAATTGTACTTTTGGCAGAGGACATAGGACATGCCCTGTGTGAATAAAAGGCTTTTAAATACATAGACATGTTTTGTGGTCCAGCATGTAATCTACATCAGCAGATGTTGCATTTGTGTTTGCAAAGTATGTTCTGTTTTTATTGGATATAGCATTCTATCAGGGCAAGTTGGTTGATGGTGTGGTAAAGCTCAGTAGATCTTTACTGATTTTTTTTTCTGTCAAGTACTAAGGGAAAAGGTACTACCAAAAGTTTTCCACTTGTAATTGTCAGTTTCAATATTTTTTGTCATAATCAATTTTTATTACTTTCTTTTAGCTGCGCTGAGAATTGAACCTAGGACCTCATGTCTGCCAAGCAAGAGCTCTACCGTTGAGCTACAGTTCCAGCTGTTTTCATCTATTTTGAAGCCTATAATCAAGAGTATGTAGTTTTTGGATAGTTGTGACGTCATGTTGAATTGGCCACCCATCATCATTATGAAATGGTTTTATTGACCTCTCATTCTCAAAGTCTCTTTTTCTGACTTTGACAGAGTGAGCTTGTCTTTCTTGAGATCAGTGTTAATAAACGCCCCTCCCATATATTTAGTGGGTTTTATTATTTTGACTCTTGCTTGTTTTTTTTTAAGACAAGGCTAGCCCCAGCTAACCTTGAACTAACAGAGACCCACCTACCTTAATCTCCCAAATGTGCCATGATGCCCAGCCCCCAATACTTTGATTTTAACCTGTCTGTGTCTCGGGTATTTAAGAAGCATTTTCTGTAGTAGCTTGTAGCAGGCTATGGTTTTTATAAATTAGTCTTTGCCTTTTAATGACAAATGGATAGAAATGGATATGACAACATGGAAGCCAAATGTAATATGTAGACTCTTTACTTTCCATGAGATTTTTAATAGAATTAAATTGATTTATGTCTACCACCCTAACTCATTTTTTTTCTTGTCTGTTTCTTATTTTCCCCATTCCCACCATTATTTCTCAAGAGGATGACTCACTGTGTAATCCCCATGCTGGTCTCGAACTTACGACAGTCCTCCTGCCTTAAACCTCCAGAGTGCTGAGATTATAGGCGTGAGCTACCTTTTCTGATTTTCTTTTTCTTCTTTTACATTGAACATGTGATTTCTGTAATTGGCTTACTCACTGGACATCTTGGTTACTGTGTAGGGTTTATGGTATGAACATGAAAGTGACAGTTACTCATTACAGTACACATCCATCACTTCCTTCCTGTCCTGTGTGCCTTGCATGTCCCTCATTACATGTTCATATGTTCTAAGCCTTACAGTACAGATTGTCATTATTTTTGCTTTAAATAGTTACCTTTGAACGTTTTTATACACCTATTGTGTGTGTGTGTGTGTGTGTTGGTGTATGTGACATAATATGTTTGTAGATCAATGTGTGGGGGTTGATTATCTCCTTCCAGTATGTGAATCCTTGGGATTTAATTTAGATTCTCTATCTTAAATGGCAAGTGTCTGTGGTATTTCTTATCAATGTTCACTGTTTTCTCTGGTGGTTGTAACTCTTTGTTTTTTGCTTGTGACAGATGTTTAGCAATTTAACTATATTTTGTCTGTGACAGTCTTGAGACCTACTGGGATTCACAGTTCTGAAAACTTTTAATTTTTATCAAATTGAAGTTTGGGGTCAATTTCTTGATGGATACACATGTGAACAGCACTTACGTGCTTCTCCCTTTGGGGCTGAATGCACAAACTAGACTGCTTGGTACTATCTCAGCACTGAGCATTGTTCTATTTTCATGTCCTCGCTTTGTGATTCATAAACTACAGGGCTATGTTTCCAGATTCACAGATCCTTTAGAAGCTCCTCTGCTAAGGTCAAACACTTCCCATTCTGTGTGCTGCTTTTCAGTTCTGGAACAGCCGTCTTCTTTTTTTATCGCTTTGTTTTCAGTTAGACTTATATTTTCCTTTAATACAATATAGTTACAATAACCGTTTAAAAATCTATTTTGTTTTTTATATATGTGTATGCATGTGTATCTATATGACTGTATTCCATGTGTGTGCATGGTCACAAGAGGGTGGCAGATCCCATGGAGCTGAAGTTACAGGTGTCTGTGAGCCACCTGCCTTGGGTGCTAGGAAGCAAACCTGGATCCTCTGGAAGACCTCAGAGTGCTCTGTACGCCCGAGCTCCAACCCTGAATTACAGTAAGTTTTTAGAAACCTTATATATCAATTTTATCATTTATGCTCTCCATTTCCACTGATTGATTTTCTTGATCGTGAATCATGTTTTATTGCTTTTCTTTCAAATCCCTATTTAATTTTTCCTCCACTGTGAGACAGCAGATATATTGCTATTGCTCATTTTAAGGATGCTGAATATTGCAACACAGGCAGCTGAGCTACTGGCTATCAATTTGATTTTGTAGACTTATTTCTGAGCTTTGCTGGCATGGGTATAGAAGGGTCTGCTCTAGAGCTAGCTGAATCTTCTAATAGGAGCTGACACTTTCAAGGCACCTGATGAGGCACCGGTTGCTCTGTTAGTAAAAACTCTAAAATGTTCCCAGATTTTCTTTAGCACTTGAAACTGCTCTGCTTGTTGTACTCGGCATGTTATTCTTCTCCATCCTCATAGAATTTCAGCCTATGATTACTATTCAGATAAAGGATATTAGTATTCAGGTCTAGGGGATCCATGAATGAGCTCTTAGGATAACTTCCTTCTCTTTGATGCACTGCCCTATAAACGAGAGATGTCTCAGACTCACTAGAGCTCTGTATTTGTCTTCTCCATTCAGAGAAGGCCACCAAAATCTGCCTAGGTTTTCCTTCCCTGTGATCTGAAAATTGCTACCCTGGAGGAAACTGGGACGATCTGAGGGTCATTTGTTTGTTTCTTGCTCTTAGACCAGGACCACAGGCCAGCTGTGTTTGCTGGGCAGTGTGTGGAAAGTCACTGGAAGTGTTTCCTGGGAGGAACCAGGGGGGAGCTGTCCTATCTTAGTTCCCCCTTTGTGGGCAAGGAGAGAAGCATATCATTTTTAAAGGAAAATTTAAATATAAAGTCTGACCTGAATTACTAATCATTAACTAAATAAATAGTCTTGAATTACCATTTGACCTTCACCTACAAAAAGCATGTGAAGGTAGAATTTCATTTGCATAATTTAGTTGACATTACCTAATTCTTTCCTTGCTGCTGTCTACCTTTCCTTTAAGTCTCTACTTAAATGCCCATTCCTCGGAGGCCCCTACACTGCAGATACTCATGGGGAGTGAAACCTGCAGCATTCCCTGGTCTTATGGTCTAGTAGGACAGTAACCACTAGCCAGAGGATCATGCAAACGGTCAATTATAACCAAATGGTAGGTTTTGAGACACTGAAGTCAGGAATACATTAGCTACGTAGTCATTTAGACTTTGATACAGCGTAGAAGCCTTTGAGAGTGAGGTATTTAAATGGAGACCCCAAGAAAATGTGGGTATCTGTCAAGGAAGAAATAAAGCAGGGGAGGTCTCCATGATGCATAACTGTTATGCAACATACTCTAGCTCCACAGGCTTTTCATAGATGAAGCAAACGAAGCAGAACTTCCCTGTAGTCCTGGGAGTTTGCAGTTACAGTGTTGATTATATTGATGATTTTTTTCCAGTTAAAGGTGATTAAAAATAAATCACAGTAAATGAAGAAATCTCTCCCCACCTCCTGCTCTTCTGCCTAACCACAGGGGATACAGTCTCTTTGCTGGGGACAGCTCTGCCTTTGTCAACCATGCCAGCCAGACCTAGAGTCTGATCTGAGGTGATCACCAGCAAGGTTTCTCCTGTGTGGTATGCACTGTGCTGTTACTAACCTTCCCCTGTTTCATTAATCTGTCTTTTACTATGTAGATCTCCTCTCAATAAAATGCTTGGGGGAGCTTAGGACTCTTCTATCTCTGCCCAGAACGAAACCCTCTCAGTTTGGTAGGCACTACCGAAATTATATCGCTAGATGTTTGCTCCTGATTGGTGAAGATCTTCACTCAATCATTTCTCAGGTTATTTAAACTCAGTGTTAGCAGTGGCCTTACTCTCTAGGTAATAGTGTACCTTTTACTCAAGCCAGAAACCTGGTCATATGGTTGTCATGACTAGCTCCTCCTCCTCCTCCTCCTCCTCCTCCTCCTCCTCCTCCTCCTCCTCCTCCTCCTCCTCCTTTTCCTTCTCTCACTTTACTCCTCCTCCCTCATCCTACTCCTCTTTCTCATCCTTCTCCTTTTTCTGCTTTCTTCTCTTCCTCTCCCTCTTCCTCCTACTCTCTTCCTTCTGTTCCTCTTCCTCCTCCTCCATGTTTTCTTTCCTCCATTCTTATTAATGCATAGCCTCCTGAGTTCTGGCCTCTCTACTTTTACAACAGCTCCCATGATGGCTCCCTCTGTGGCTTCTCAAATCTATCTTTCACTTTGTCAAGGAGTGGCATGCTCTGTGAGGCCCAGTGAGGAACTAGTTGACTGGGACTTCGATGATGTGGATTTTGTTCATCCCACAGGAGCAGGGAGCGCTCCTAAGCACAGCACTTGTGTCATTGGAAAGGGGATCTACTTTTGCTAAATTCTTGGTTACTTAAGAAAAACTGAGAAGCTAGACTTGTCTATGTAAACTCTTAGTTTTTAAGTGTTTTCGATTACTTGGACCAAACAAACACTGAGTTTGAGTTCTGGCCTGTGCTCTGTGTTACAGCTCTTGTCTGGTCCTTGGAGGGCATCTAATAGTTGCAGAATAACTTCCTGATCTTTTCCATAAAGTGTCTTCTACTTGTCTTACTGTGACTTTAACTTTTTTTCCCTCAGTAACCTCTAATCGTGAAGACCGAATTCTACAGAAGAGATGCCACAATAAAGAAGCTTCTTGCCCCAATTAGATTAGGTATTGTAAGAAGGTAAGGACTGTAGAAATCAATTGACGGGAAGAGGTTTTGTCAGAACCAGAACTAAGCTGCCAGGTCAAGATACAGGGTATATCACAGATTTGAGAATTTGGGATATGAAGATTCCTTGCTCACAGTGGAAGAAAAGCCCAGGGTGTGGGTGGAAATGGCGAGGAGGAGGCAGGAAGAGAAGGGGAACCCAATGATTCCTGTACAAGACTCAGGACTTAGAGTAGGGGAAGGAGGATGCACATAGCTCTCAGGAAGCATGAAAATTTTCTGTACCTCTGAGTATGTTCTGAAACTCTGAACCTAAGAAGGCATATCCGGGAGAAGAGAAACTGCAGGTCTTCCAGAGAAAACATTGAGCCTGGCGTGCTACACACATGACTTTTGGACAAAGGGTTAAGTGGGTGGAGAAAGTGGGCCCTGTGGTATCACCTCCACTCTCTGTCTTTCTGAAGTCACTGAGTTCCTATCACAGGGTTAGTAGCAGGGGTAATGATGCCCAGGCGATCGGACCCTGCTAGCTGTCTTTATACATACTGGTACTGGGTATCTGCGGACCATGCAGGCCACATCATAACAGAGGCCACCAAGAGATTAGGCCATGCTTAGAGAGGACACAGATGGGTTGGTAGTGTCTAGAGTGCTGGAGAGTTGCCTCCTCTAATATGAGACTACACACTATAGATTCTCAACCCCAGAGACTTGAGAAAGGCAGGTTAAAAAATGTTAAACCATTCGTGACACTCATAAAAGATGGCAATGGAGATTTTATCCAAAGAGGAAGTATAGAGGTAGGTGCAAGGGACCATAGCAGTCTGCACTGGGGACCTTGCAGTTGAGATCACCTCTGAATCTAACAAGGAGAAGTAAGGGTTAGCAGCTAAGGTATAGGGTGGGAATTCATGCATGGAAAATTACTAGGATGGAATATCAGAGAGTAGGGGATTTTTTATTAGATGAATGCAACAGAGTTCTTGCTGAAGGCAGGCCAGGGAGATAAAAGAGAGAAGGGAGATGAAGACTGAT